AATCATTTAGCAGTGTAAATATCCCAGGTGGACTGCTATTATTCATCATTATTAAATCATTTAGTAGTGTAAATATCCCAGGTAGACTGCTATTATTCATCATTAATAAATCATTTAGCAGTGTAAATATCCCAGGTAGACTGCTATTATTCATCATTATTAAATCATTTAGCAGTGTAAATATCCCAGGTAGACTGCTATTATTCATCATTATTAAATCATTTAGCAGTGTAAATATCCCAGGTAGACTGCTATTATTCATCATTAATAAATCATTTAGCAGTGTAAATATCCCAGGTAGACTGCTATTATTCAACATCTTTATACGCTTTGTTTATAGTGTAAAAAGTCTCGGTAGATCGCACACTGTAGTGTAAAAGTCCTAGTAGCACCCACAAAGCTTCTGTTAGGTTTGATTTACTTAAGTAATGAAGCATATTATGCTAATATAATAGTAGTTAGTCAAACAACGAAAGACCAATGTTCTGTCGAAACATGTAGTATGTTTCACCATAAATAAAACTTTTCCTTATGCTTATAAATCGTTGTTTGCCTAACTATTATTAGGTTTGATTTAAGTAATTGCAGGATTGTGAAGCAATGCAATTTAAATTAGTGGGCACGTACTGGCCCTGTGGTAGATCTCTGGATTTGAAGCTGACGACCTGGGTTTGATTTCCTGCGACACTATAAACAATATCCCCGACACTTTAAGCTGTTGATACATTATAATAGTAACTGTCAATCCCTTAGCATGAGTGGTAGTATGCTGCTGACTGGCTACCTTCCTTCCTATCTTTAGTTCTAAATTAGAAACGGAGGCAGATAGCCATAGTAGCTTTGCCATGCCCCCCCCAGTAGCACAGCGGTATGTCTGCGGACTTAACTCTAGAAACCGGGTTTCGATACCCGTGGTGGGCAGACACAGATAGCCCATTGTGTAGCTTTGCGCTTAACTTCAAACCAAGCATTGCCATAAATGCAAACACTTTAAATGTATCTTGTTTGTAAAGAGTTTTTATATTAAAATATTGATATCGGAAGTGTTTATTCAAGACTGATTTTGTAGTACTAATCAGGAAACTGTACTTAATACCACTTATTTAAATAATTTTGAACTTTATTTTCTTTGTTAATATCAATGATATCAAAAGAGATGGAAATTTGTAGTATTGTCTCTTGTCTTTGACTGTGTAGGAATCTCTCAGCAGGATTGAAAGAAGAAGCCGTTAGACCACTTAAAACTATAGTTGAGTGTCAGTACAAAACAAAGAAACTGGTAAGTACCGAAACTCAGAACTACGTGTGTATCTGTAGTCCTTAAAAATTGTAAATATATATATATATAGAATATATAACTGTTCTAAATGTAATAACTTATTCCTTATTTCTCACTTCATTAATTTAGCGGGGATCAAGAATTTAAAGGAAATATGTAATTGATGTTATTTTGTATGGCGTATGTCCGAATTTTTATTATAAGAAATGTATGAGGTGAGTTCTTTTTTCTTCATAATAGTCTTCAGATTAAAACATGGAAATGAAAAAAAAAACATGTTCTCTTAAGTACTTTATTATAATTTTGTTGGAAGGACTAATTTTGAAATGATCACTGCTTGTGGAAATTAGGCATTTTAGGGGGCTGGGAGTAAGTGGCCTAGTGGTTAGCATGCTGGAGTGTAGATCTGAAGGTCTATTGTTCACTTTTAGGGTAATGGGTGTGTTAGAAGAGTGACAATTAAGTACTGCTATTTGTGTAGAATAGCCGAAGAGTTTGTGTTGGGTGCTGTTGACTAGCTGCCCCATTTAGTCTATAACTCAGTATCAGTTTAAAATTAGGGACAGATAGAGCAAATAACCATCGTGCAATTTTGCACGTATATCCAAAACAATTCAAAAAATGTGTTATAGTGTATGTTTCCTTATGAACTTATTCAGTATGGTTCAAAAGTTTAACTTGTGTGCCTAATATAATGGTCAAGATGGAAATGACTTAAGTTATTGGTAACTCAATTGGTTGAGTATTTACCTCAGCCCACTAATGTCACCTAAGGATCTCAGATTCAAGTCTCGGTTAGAGCAGATTTTGTTAACATACCAATACTTTTTATTGGTGCTTAGGTAGGTGTTGAACTACCCGGTTGAGCAGATATTAAGTCATGTGAACATTCTTGTCTTAGCAATCAGCCTAGTGTATTGCCTGACAGTTAGAGGTATTTCATGTGTTGTCAACCTGAGAAAATTATGTTGGGCACATGTTGATGGCCAGCGTTGTGTGTTGTAGGTTTGAGAATGAGTGGTGAAATTATGCAATGTTCATGATAGGAATTATCTGCTCGAGTCATAGTAGCTCAGTTGGTAAAACACTGGCCAGAGAATATTGTCTGTATTTTACAAAATTTGCATAAAAAGATTAAATTCAGAAAATGTTTTAATAGTGAAGATTCACTGGGTTTAAGCAAGTAATAAGAATTAAGTTTGTAAGTATCTAGAAATTTTCTTTTATCAGATTTTGGATCATTAATAAATATATAATTTGGTGATCAATAATTACTTTCCAACTCAAAATTAATTTTATATAGGATTAATTGCAGTCATAACTTTTTATGCATGAAATGGAAGCAAGCAATAAATGTGAGTTGAACCTATCAAATATGACTAATTTAAATTTTGTGTTGTCATAACAATTAGTAGATACACAGGTGTATCTAGGAGCAAAAACTTGGGGAGGCAAGTTGAGTAACCATAATGCTCTCAAATTAAAACTTAATACCTACAGGTGTGAGATGACAAGTCATAGTGTGCTGATTTTTCCAAGCCCGTTCCCTTGGCTGTGGTTTCGCTAGATAGTAGATAGGGACAGTGGGAATCTCGTTAATCCATTCATGCGCGTCACTAATTAGATGACGAGGCATTTGGCTACCTTAAGAGAGTCATAGTTATTGACTATTGCTAGGGGAGGTCTGGGGGCATGCCCCCAGAAAATTTTTAGCTAAAAGTGTTATTAAAAACATTGGTTTTGCATAAACTTAAAAATGGATAATCTATGGGGGAGGGGGGAGAAATCAGTTTTGTAGAGACACCCCCTCATATCCACTTATGAATAGATATGTAATGGTTTTACTTGCTTTTACAATGATGGTATTGATTGTGTTAAACAATCCTATACAGCTACTGTAGATAAAATAAACAGTTATGTTACATTGATAACATATAGTACTTTGTTGTATGTTCTTTAAATAGAACAACAGTATATTATTGCCACTATAGGTAGAAACTATGGTGGAGAAAAGTTTGAAACATCTGTCAGAAAAACGAATTGAGGAAGCAAAGAAGAAAAAAAAACATTATATTAGTGCTAGAGAAAATGAGAGAATACAGAATCAAACACTTGACTTTAAGGTTGTTCAAGGAAGAGATATCATGAGGGTAAGTTATATTTTATTTACTTCTAATAATCAAGTTGGTAGCCGTTGGCTGCAAGTGATTTATTCTGTGTAATTTCTCCAAACATGAAATTTTTGGAATGAAAATATTTTCTTTTGAATATATTAAAGTTTGTGTTTGGAAATTCCTGGATGTTATACAAAATGCAACTGTCTGCATCCTAATCAGTTAAAAGTTGGATCAACAATAAGACCCGTGTGAGTACTTTCCAGTGAGGAATAATAGTAAACACATGTTAAATAAGTGTAAGCATAGTCAAAATTTGAACATAAACTAGAATGGTGATTTTTTAAGGAATGGGCTACTAACCATGACAACAGTTCATACCCAATGATTCACCCTTACCATAAATATTTAAATATAGGATAAGTTTGTGAATAGAAAAGCTAGTTTCCTTGGTTATGATAACATTAACAAAATACACTTGAAAAATTGTATTAAGTCTTGTCTTTTTTATTATTTACTTCTGTTTACATGAATTTTAATTTCTGAAATATTCCAAAGATGCAGGACAAATGCCCTAGTTAAATAAAAAAATTCTTCATCCTTCTTGCAATTGGTATATAATTAATTGGCATTTTTCTACTTTTGTTTTCATGTCTGGTCCAAACAGGATTTATCAACAAACCGTTGATGTGGTGCATTGTTAGATTAAATTTACTGTTGAGTTTCTTTGTTGTTAAGTAAAACGTACACCTTAAAAGGTATTTTGATAACAATGCAATTGCATATCACGTATGTTTCGGATGAAATGTAACAACTTTTATTTTTCTACTTTCTCACTTTGTGTGAATAAAGTTTTTCATTTTTAATAATGCAGTTTTAATGAATGAATGAATAAACATTTGATTCTAAAAATAAATCATCAAGACCATAATTAATGAAAATAGTTTATATATAATTAGGATTTTGTCATTTTGTGTTAGATCAACTTTAAACTGGCAACAGACTCAAAAATTCCAAATACTGTTATTTCAGGTTTGTATTTATATAGGTTGTGTCTCACTTACAATCGGTAGCAATCTCAAATAATAAGATAAGCCAGTGCCATTAGAACCTGGGGTCCACACTTTTAGATATTTGACTTATATAGAAACTGTAAATTATATTAATTTTCTTTGGGTTTTTTTGGGGGGCATGCCCCCCACCCAGATTGAGCTGCCTTTGGCAGCTCCTTATACTTTCAGTTTCTCATTTTAAAATCTACATGTCTAGCCAAACACCCCCACTTTGTAACTCCTTCCTACACCACTGTAAAAACATAGCTTTTTTAAAAATACACTTCTTTTTCATTAGTATAAATAGAAACATTGATCAAGTTTATCTAAGCTTCCATGTTAGTAAAACATGTAATTTGAAACAGACGTTTGTATTGATAAACTCCTTGTTTGTAGTTATGTGCAGAAAATATAAATGTAAAAGCACAGAAGCATAAAACAGAGCTTTTAATTCAGTGTCTTTGCATTTTGCTTGATTTCTCTGCAGTTCGAAAATAAGAAAAAGAAATTGGTAGAAGTTTCTGTTAAAGGTGAAGTGGACTATTACAATATTTCTGTGGATGCAGAAAGAACACGACTACAATTGGTAACAGCAACAAACCGAGCAGCCAACCACTTTCAACATCTAGAAGAGGAAAGATTAGCTCATCTAAAGGAAGTGGCTAAAACATATTCCACTCACATCACTATTCTGGGCCCTAGGATGGTTGAGGTAAAAGGCTGTTAATTAAAGTTTTTACTTTTTCAAAATGTATAGCTGTGTCTTTTATATTTTAAATGCTCATAAAGCAAATATTGTGTTTGAATAAAATGACTTAAATGGATTTAATCATTAAATAAGAATTAATCATTTTTATAGATATATATATATATATTCATGTAAACTAAAATTTTTTTTTTGTTATATACAGTTTTCAGAGAGACTAAAAGCTTCATTGTCATGTATCTGCATTCCAGAAGACATCAATTTAACCGGGAAGCTAAAGGAATCTAGATCCAGTGTTCCAGAAACAACAGTTCCACAGTTTTATGTACATCTTAGCTATATAATATTGTCTTAGTTTGTATATCAAAATGTCATTAATTAAAATATATATATAATTTTTTGTTTAAGGAAATTTTCAATTTAACCTTTAAAAAGCAGTCATTTGTTGACGGTACAAATATATAACAAAAATAAATTCTGGTTTCTTTGTTCTTCTTGATAAAGAATTTCTTATGTGATTTTCAAATGTTTTACACACGGTCATGAAAATGATTGACCAATATTCAGTGGCATAAGTATGCCCCCGTAGGCCCTGCAATTGCTTTTTTTTACTCAATATATAAATCTGTCAACTTCTTACATTTAAAGACATTTCATTTTCTGTCACCTTTTTCATTGTCTGAAGTCTGCATGATTTTTATGTTGCTGTAAGATGAACAAGTGTATGGATATTATATATGTAGAATTAGGAATCAACTGGTGATATTAACAGGCCTAAGATTTCTGAAAACATCATAAAATAATAATGTTGTTAAAGCTATAAATGTCAGAACCTTTAATGTTGAATAATCATAAATGTTCTTTCTGGTGCTTCTTTATATAGGACGACTTTTTTTTTTTATAGGCTGAAGATTTTGACAACTCAATGAAGCAGGAAAGGAGACACGAGTCATTAAATAGAATATTAAACCTATTACAGCAAGACTTGGAACTTGAAAGAAAAGGAAAACAAAGTATGACTGCCATAATAATGAAACCTAAAAAGTAAAGAAAAAGGTCTATAAAAATAATGAATACCTTATAGTTTTACTTTGTAATAAACCATTTCACTGTAATTTTTACTTTTTCTCTAAGTTTTTTTAATCTTTAGATATTTATAATTTTGTTACAATTATATTCACTCTGTCTACCGAAATGTTTATGACTACTGAAGAAGAAAATTTGTACATCTATGTTTGCCGTAGATATAATAATTTGAATCCCTTTTTATCCCAAGGTGATACTTATACTTGATTCAATGGCTAATGTCATTACTTTGTAATAAAAAAACTGGACAAATAAAAATGTCAACCCTTTTATTTCAGGACTAGAAGAGTTGGTCAAAGTTTCTCATGAAGACGAGGCAAGATTTGATGCTGTAAGTTTTTATTTCATTTTTGTTAATTAACACCAAGTCTGTGAGTCAGGAATACATTTTTGGTGGTTTGATTCTCTGACAAAGCTTTCCAGTACATTCTATTTTTAAATTCTGAAGAGAAGTTTGAGCTCCTTGCAATTTCTCAAATCTGAATTTCCCACCAGTGTGAATAAATTTGCAATAGTTTCCAGGCTATGAATGAGTAAAACCCATATTCTCATCCAAATTTCCAAAGGAATCACACATATTTCAGAACACAAAATCTGGTTACTCACCTCTATAAAGCTATTTTCTCCGTGATTTCTCCAGTTGATAGAGATGGCCAAGGAAGGCATACATTAGCAAATTGTGATAAAGCAATACTGTGACATGTCCAGTCATTATTGTAGTTATTTTAAGTACAGTAGTACTTAATAGTAGGGATCAACAAGAATTCCAAAAAAATTAACGTGCCAAAAAAACCACCATATCGAATTCCTAAACCAAAAACCGACCATTCAAAGTATTGGTTACAATATATTATGTGTATATATATACTAATAATGCACTAAAAAGGTTGATAACATTTCCAGTATAACAATTCAAAAATTTCTAAAACAGCAACTTTTTCGTCTACTACCTGCCTGATCATGTCAGTGGAGCTAGTGCCTGGACAGCTTGGATTATCGCTACAATATTTCTCCAGCTTACTTGACTGGTTTTTGGGTATCCACTTTTGATATTTGGGTAAAATTCCACATATATATATATATGTGTGTGTATGTATATATATACACACACACACACACACAAGTATAATATGAATGTAAACATATCATACACATACTTAAGTATCTTTTCAACTCAACGGATGGGGCTACGTATCAATAGATAGACATGCGACAGTTTCTAAAGGTAAAGTATATACTTTATACAGGTATAAATTATAGCTATCAGGGATATGGCTATACTGAACATTTATAGATGTTGTGTCCTTTCCATGGACATATAAAAACTGAACAAATAAATAGGAAAAAAATAATAATTTTAATGGAATGTAGGGATCGTTGGTTATTCGTAGAATTGCTATAAGAAGTATTCAAAACAAAATAAATGCTGTAATAAAAAGTACACAAACAAGTAAAGTGATACTAGTTGGCTAGATTTTAAAACCTTTTTCAATCCCTACTTTGGTTGGCAAATTTATACCACTTCTTTTAGCTATACGATCACAATGACTTTCCATTAAAATTGTATTTTTATTTTCTAATTATTGTGATGGTTTCTGCTCAGAATCACAGACAAATGCTCACCAAGTGGGTTACAGAAGTTAATCGGATGTGTGAAGAATGATATAGTCGTAGTAGTAGTAGCAGAGGCAAAAGTAGCAATAGTACCAGGACAACATTACCAGTACAGCACATGAGGGAATATAGATCAATCAGTGATTTTATTTATGTTTTAAACCAATCAGGATCTAATATTCATAAGCACTTTTTATTTGACTAATCATGGTATGCCAACATAAGTACTTCTACTATTTTGTGCAAGAGAAACACAGTTTGGCCAACCCCCTGAACTTTTCATATTTATGGCCAAACACTATTGAGAAGTGTGTGTTCTCTTTAAGTAAAGTGTGGTTTTTATGGTTAACAGGTCGAGACCTTTATCAGAGTACATTTCTTTGGCTCTACCTTCAATACTGGAAACCGTGACACCCTTCTGTAGCCCACCTAATCTCTTGAATTATGTCTTATAGATTCAAAGACTGAGTGTTAAGTATTATACCAGAAAACTGAAACAAGAAATTAGTTTCTAGAAATCAGAAATAGATACTTTCAAGTTAAAACTTTGGTACAATCAAGTTATAAATGTTACGTTAAGTTTACCATTATTTTTACATTTTTGAATTGCTCATATGTTACTGTGGTATATACAGGTAAAATTAGCGTTAACTAGAACTATACTGTATAGATCTGTTAGATAACAGGAGACTAGCTCAAAATATATCGATTGTGGAATAATACTAAACTTCTTACTAACTGAGTCAATGTAAAAGGCAATAACAAAACTTATAGACAGTGTAATAGAAAATGAACATTCTTTATTAAATACAAACACTGTGTGTTGTGCTTGCTGTTATATACGTGGGATGATCGCCTTAAGAGGATCACAGGACTGACTACTGAAGACAAAGTTCCTAACTAAATGATGTTCCAGACCAAACTGACTATACAAAATCTTCCTGAGTATTCAAGAAACCTTGCATTTAACTAGGGCAACTTGTGCTAACCATGTGACTGGTCATTCTTATTAGTTGGGGCTGTTACCTTTAGATATCACCTGAATCTGCTATCAATATTGTTATATAATATGTCATATTGAACAATACCCTCCCCAGGCAGTAACAGATATTATCCATTCTTGAAAGAAACAAACGAACAAAGGTAGTTTCAGAATGAAATAAACTTAACGGCACTCTTAACCATGTGTTTTGTGAAACCTGCACATGTACAGAACAAAGAATGAATTCAAAAGAAACACTAATATTACAAGAGGATATAAACACGTGGTATATTTAAATAACACATTACATTTAGAAACAAAAAATAAGTAACAAACAAGAAGTAATTGGACTTCCTGAGCTCAGTTGAATGAGAAATATTTATAAAATATCTCACTATTATAGAGTGATATTGATTATTGTCTAACTGTAGAACTATCAGTGAGGTTTATATGGACCCTGGCTGTTTATGAAGTACATATTTCTAAACTATGTGTTCACAAAATTGCATGTTGTGACTTCGTTAGTTACAGGATGCCTAATAACATATTGTTGCGTCAGCGAGGTCACATGACTAGTATCACGCCACCTGTTTCTAGAAATATCCTGTTCCTT